CCGCCGCAGCCACTCGCCGACAACAACACGGCACTCGATCAGCTGTTTGGGTTTATTGATAAAACCGAGACTTCACGGCCAGATGCGGCGTTCGTTGTGGCCGGAGATTTCAACACCGCCAACATGAAGAAGGTTTTGCCAAAATATTACCAACACATCAACTTCCCGACGCGCGGGGGAAACATACTGGACCATGTTTATTCCCCTTTCCGGAATGGATATAAGGCTCTCCCTCGCCCTCCCTTCGGCAAATCAGACCATATCTCACTACTGTTGTTGCCTGCTTACAAGCAGAAACTTAAAAGGGACAGACCGATAACAAGGACAGTACAACGATGGAGCGAGGAGTCAGATTCAGCACTGCAGGATTGCTTTGCATCCACGGATTGGAGTGTGTTTGAGGACAATAACATCAACACACACACGGACACTGTCATCTGCTACATTGGGAAATGCATCGATGACGTGGTACCGAAGGTTTCTGTACGGACATTCCCAAATCAAAAGCCCTGGGTAAACGGTGAGGTGCGCGGCAAACTGAAAGCGCGCACTCTCGCGCACACAGCGGGAGATTTGGAGGAGTACAGGAAGTCTAGGTATGATCTCCGGAGAGCAATAAAAAATGCAAAGAGACAGTACAAAGAGAAGGTGGAATCTGACTTCAAAGGCTGTAACACTAGGAATATGTGGGCGGGACTAAGGACAATGACTGACTACAAAGGAGCAGCGGGGGGTGCTGCGGGAGTGTCTGCGTGCGCATCTCTCCCAGATGAGCTAAACAGTTTTTTTGCACGCTTTGAGAGCAGCCAGGCTGTGGAGGTACAGAGGGACCAGGAGCTACACTGCCCTTTTGTTTTAAATAGGGCAGATGTGTGTAAATCCTTTAAAAGGGTTAACCCACACAAGGCTCCTGGACCTGATGGCATCCCTGGCCGTGTTCTCAGGGTGTGTGCAGTTCAGCTGGCAGAGGTGTTCACAGACATCTTCAACAGGTCCCTGCTGCAGTCTGTAGTCCCCACATGTCTTAAACACTCCACCATCATTCCTGTCCCCAAAAAGACAATCATCACCTGCCCCAACGACTACCGCCCAGTAGCACTCACCTCCATCATAATGAAGTGCTTTGAGCGGTTAGTCAAATTATTCATCACCTCCTCCCTCCCTGAATCTCTGGACCCCCTGCAGTTTGCCTACAGAGCAAACAGGTCCACAGACGACGCCATAGCCCTCACCCTCCACACTGCCCTCTCACACCTGGACCCGAAGAAGAGGAACACATATGTGAGAATGCTGTTCATTGACTACAGTTCAGCATTCAACACCATTGTGCCCTCCAAGCTGGCCATCAAGCTCAGAGACCTCGGACTCAACAGCGCCCTCTGCGACTGGATCCTGAACTTCCTGACGGGCAGACCCCAGGCAGTGCGGGTGGGAAATATCACATCCTCCACCCTGATTCTCAACACCGGTGCCCCTCAAGGCTGCGTGCTCAGCCCTCTCCTCTACTCCCTGTTCACCCACGACTGCGTGGCCACACACAGCTCCAACACCATCGTGAAGTTTGCTGATGACACGACCGTCATCGGCCAGATCACAGACGATGACGAGACGGCATACAGAGAGGAGGTCGAAAACCTGACATCTTGGTGCCAGGAGAACAACCTCCATCTCAACATCAGCAAAACAAAGGAGCTGATTGTGGACTACAGGAAGCAGCAGGGAGAGGGACACGCCCCCATCGCCATCAATGGGACTACGGTGGAGAGAGTCAAAAGCTTCAGGTTCCTTGGGGTCCACATCACTGAGGACCTGACATGGTCTCTTCACACCACCACCATCACTAAGAAAGCTCGACAGCGGCTCTTCTTCCTCCGCAGGTTGAGGAGGTTCAAAATGGATTCCAGGATACTCTGCAACTTCTACAGGTGCACGATAGAGAGTATCCTCACTGGCAGCATGACGGCCTGGTACGGCAGCTGCACCGACCTCGATCGTAAGGCTTTACAGAGGGTGGTGAAAACTGCACAGCACATCACCAGGACGGAGCTGCCATCCATGGAGAACCTTTACTCCCAGCGGCTCAGGAAGAAATCACTACGGATTATCAAAGACCCCCATCACCCCAGCCACAAACTGTTCTTTCTGTTGCCGTCTGGCAGACGTTACCGCAGCATCCTGGCAAGGACAAGAAGATTCGGAGACAGTTTCTTCCCGCGGGCAGTGAGACTGTTAAAAAATTGAACTGTTGAAACAACTTCAAACATTCAACTGCTACTCAGTAGTATGTATCTAATACCTAATATATATATATCATTCCAATAACTTGTATATAGACTCATACTGCACTATTCCACATCATAACTTTATTTCATTTTTATAACTATTATTATTTTTGTATTGCTCTTGCTCTTATTGTTATTATGTTATGTTATTATGTTGCATTGTTGGAGAAGCCTGTGACATAAGATTTTCAACTGCATAATTACTCTGTAGCTATGTCAGATTGACAATAAAGAACCTTGAACCTTGAACCTTGATATTCCGGTGATTTGTGTTTTTAATATAACTTTTCAGTTTTAAACCTTCACGTATGTTATGTGTTATTGAGGCCGGCAGGCTGCAGAGATCAGGAGGTTAAACGATGCTCACTGTCTTTGACTGAATTTATTAGAAAATTGGGCCTATTAACACATGAATACTGTGTTATATATTTGAACATATATATTAAGAAGTACAATATAAGAAAAGCAGAAGTTTATTATACTTAAGTCATTATACATTTTGAATCTGCTGAGGGCCGATTCAAAATTGTCCGCGGGCCGCATTTGGTCCCCGAGCCCTAGTTTGGACATCCCTGATGTATAGTGTCAGTGGGGGGGCCGGGCCTTTTTGATGAGGAGGGGAAGAAACTGTTCAGGTGGAGAGAGGTTTTGGTCCTGATCAGAATCAGAATCAGAATTATTCGTCCCACAGAGGGGACATTTGTTACAGCAAAAAAGAGCCAAAGACAGCCTAATGTTAACTAAGAAGCATGCATAACAAAATATTAAAGGTAAAAAATGAAAAACAGCTGTAACAGTTCTGAGGATTTAGCAGCCAGGTAGATTACAGTTATTAACGGCATATATATATATATATATATTGCACATAGTTGGTATTTAACAACAAGGGGTGTTACTGTATACCAACTTTTTGATGTGATATCTTGTTTTAATAGTGACTTTATCATTTTTTTTTTGCTGTATTATTATTTTAATTTGTATTCTATTTTATCTTTATTTTTACCCTGTGTGAATCCTGTTTTTCACTCTGACCCTGTTGCTGCTATTAACACCTGCATTTCCCCAAAGGGATAAATAAAGTTTAATCTTATCCAACAATCTTATCTAAGTCTGTGTTGTTGATGGAGCGTAGCCTCCTGCCAGAGGGGAGGGGGGTGAACAGTTAGTGTCCAGGGTGGGAGGGGTCGGCCACTATCTTCCAATGTGGAGAGATGGCAGATTACAGCCGATCACCCTCTCTGCAGAGCGGATGACACGCCGGACAATATCCTGTTGTGAGGCGAGGCCGGAGGCATTGAAACATGTTCCCTAAGTTCACATAGACCAGGGTCTTGACTTTTGACCTTAAGAACGTAATCATATCACCCTGAGTCCAAGGGGGCGCTGTTGTCAATGTTAAAGAGACCCTGTTCTGAATCTTTGAATGTGTCCTGTAGATTTATATGCAGCATGTTAGACAGCTACTTCTGAACATCTGAGGGGGGGCCACTGTGGAACCCAAAGAGCAGGAAGTCCTCGTAAAGAACTATCGTATTTGAATATATGATGGCACATGTAAAGTTCAATAGAAATAAACAGCTAGGGGCCACTAGAGGCTGTAATGTTAAACTACATGTGTGGATGGCACAGGCAGGGCATCTGTTCAGTGAGCATCACAAAATGTTTCTAGGACGTGTCGTTTGGTCCAAATACAAGATTAAACAGGTTAATTATGTGTCAATTTACACCAAAGGGACGCACAGTGGAATACAAGCAGTGGCCCCTCAACGCTACACACTGTTAACATACAGTCTGTGCACATAGGTAAAATACAACAGGTCACAACGATATAGTAAAGTAAAACAATATAAACCGCTGGTCTGAGAACCTGCCCCAAGTCTCCCTAATGGCCCCTACTCCCAGGAATAGGCCCCGGTCTCAGGAACAACCCCTAGTCTCAGGACCGGCATCTAGACTCAGGACCGGTCAGTAGTCTCAGGACTGGCCAGTAGTCTCAGGAATGACCCCTAGTCTCAGGAACGACCCCTAGTCTCAGGACCGACCCCTAGTCTCAGGAACGACCCCTAGTCTCAGGACCAGCCCCTAGTCTCAGGACCGGCCACTAGTCTCAGGACTTGCCACTAGTCTCAGGACCGACACCTAGACTCAGGATTGGTCCTTGGTCTCAAGACTGGCCAGTAGTCTCAGGACCGGCATCTAGACTCAGGACTGGTGCATAGTCTCAGGACTGGCCAGTAGTCTCAGGAATGACCCCTAGTCTCAGGATGGACCTCTAGTCTCAGGACCGGCCAGTAGTCTCAGGACTGGCCAGTAGTCTTAGGAACGACCCCTAGTCTCAGGACCGACCCCTAGTCTCAGGACTGAACCCTGGTCTGTATAGCCATCACCAGATTTTAGCACTCAGAAAATGAACAGCTGTTTAGATCATCACAGGAAGTAAAGCGTCAGTCTTCCTTCAGAGCGTTCGGACAGCAGACATTAATAAACATGAGCATGAGTCAGAGTTCGATGATGAGGTCATGCTGTCTGGAAGAGGTTGAAAGAGGTCACACCGCTCAGTGAGAGGAAGGGTCTGATTGCAGATGGATTGTGGTGTTTTCCATGATAATGAATCTGTTTAGGTTCTATGTGCTCATATCTCACACTGTGTTTAAAGAGTGCATCATATTTACAGATGTATGAGAGAACGCAATAATGGTTTCTGACCACTTGAGGACCATGGTGAACTCTACACAGGTTTCATATTTTATACTGAGTGTCTACTTCCACACGGGGGTTTTTAAATACTTGTTCTTCATGATTGTCATGCGTTTATATGTGTGTATTATAGGTGCCAATGTGTTGCTGATTGTGGTTATCTGCGTGAACAGGAGCTTACATGAACCTATGTACCTTTTTCTGTGCAGCCTGTTTGTAAATGAACTGTATGGTAGTACAGGGTTGTTTCCATTCCTTCTGGTTCAGATCCTCTCTGACATCCACACTGTTTCTGCTCCGCTCTGCTTCCTGCAGGTTTTTTCTGTGTATTCTTATGTGTGTGTGGAATATTTAAACTTAACCGTCATGTCTTATGACAGATATCTTGCCATCTGTTATCCTCTGCAATACAACACACGTATGACTTCTAGGAGGGTCGCCTCTCTCGTTGCTGTGTCGTGGTTTTACTCGCTGTTAATCTGTGTTGTCATGATAGCTCTGACTGTGTCTCTGCAGCTGTGTGGGAACATCGTTAATACCGTGTACTGTGGGAACTACTCCATTGTTAAACTGGCCTGCTCTGACATTACTGTAATTAATATTTATGGACTCTTTGTGAGTCTTTGCACGTTCTTCGTTCCTCTGATTTTAATCCTCTACACGTACATTAAGATCCTCAGAGTGTGTTTCTCTGGTTGTAAGCAGAGCAGACAGAAAGCTGTCAGTACCTGCACACCTCACCTTGTTTCCCTCATCAACTTCTCTTTTGGCTGCAGCTTTGAAATACTTCACAATAGGTTTGATATGAGCGGTGTTCCAAACATGTTCCGCATCTTATTATCGTTATACTTCCTCACGTGCCAGCCTCTCCTCAATGCTGTGATGTACGGCCTGACATTTTCCAAAATCCGTGTTGTCGTGAGAAATGTGTTGTCAGAGGTCGGCCTTTAACGGGAGGTGATTGTGAACTGAGTGATGAATAAACCCCGTCTGGATGCACCTGAATCCACCTGTCCCGTTTATTCTTGATCTGAGAGTTGTCGGCAGGATGTAGATAATACAAGACAGCGTTTGATTGTTATAACTTTTTTTTTTGCGCCCAGCAAAAGTTTGTGTTAACCCTAAAGACGCTCGCAGTTACAAGTATGGCTGTGTGTGAGAACTGTCATATTGCATACTCACGACTGGAGGGTAACATTCACAGGCTGGAGAAAGAAGTCCGGGAAAAAGAAAAAATGATCGACAGCTTTCTATCGATCGCCCATGCCCAGTCCATACACATCTCACAGATGCAGGCAGTCTGTCGTCCTGTCACCGTCCTCCCGGCTGTCACAGGCCGCGGCCTCGGACTCTGCGGATACACTTCGATGGCTGTCAACAACCAATGCTGGTGCTGTTCCTGATCCAAAGACAGAGAGCCCGGTAGCTGTGGAGGATAGACTATCTGACCGAATCAGGTGTCGCTACTGCTGTTGGAGCCGTGGAGCCGTGCGATGTCATTCCTCCGGCGGAGGCCCCTGCGCACCCGGGTAGTGACTGGGCTCGAACGGGAGCCAGACCCAAAGCCCCAACTCTTACTTCCACACCAAATCGGTCCCATTGTGCGGTGCAGCCATCCTGATCTGAGGTAGTTCGTCGCGGCAGGAACTGCTCTGCTGCAGCGACACCATGGCCTCGTCTGGAGACATCGAACCGTTTTGCTGTTCTTCCTGATGAGCCTCCTGCTCATCCGTCGAATGCCGCTGTGGTCTCGCCACACCTGGAAGCATCTCTTTCTCGTGTTGCCGTCTCCCCTCCATCTCATCCTCCATCTCCGGCCCGGAGGATTTGCCAGCCGAGCACAGGAAAACAAAGCAGGGGATCCCTTTCAGTGCCGAAGCCTTCGTCCTCCTTTCGCTGCAGATTACTGAAGGAGGCCGTGACCAGGAGACGCTCTGAAGGTCTCATTCTTCAAGGAACAAACCCCACATCCTTGCCACAGCAGACCCCGGCTGTGACCACCCAGCCTCAGCCGGTAAGAGCTGCTCACGCTGTGGATACTGATTGTGACCTGTTCGGTTCTGGCGGAGCCCCGTCTACACTCCCACGGCCGCTTTTCTCCCCCTCAACCTTGATTATCGGCGATTCCATAGTCAGGAATGTGCGTTTTTTTTATGCATCAACACACTGCTTCCCTGGTGCCATGACATCCGACATTCAGAAAAAGCTCCAGGATTTACTGCCCACACTCTCGTTATCCATCAAAAGAGTGATAATCCACGTAGGCACAAATGATGCAGCTCGTCAACAGTCTGAGTTGACCAAATCTGATTTTAACCACCTTTTTGACTTCCTAAAGAACCGTGGAATGTCTGTTTTTATTACTGTAGGCCGCGGCACTGCTCGCTTCAGCAGACTGCTTAGTCTTCACACCTGGCTGCAGTCCACCTAAACAGCTCAGAACGTCGGGTTTATTGACAATTTTAACCTTTTCTGGAATCGCCGGTCTCTTTTTAACAACGACGGCGTACATCCAAACAGAGCAGGTTCTCAGATGTTGTCCGCTAACATTCAACACACAGTGCTGTCCTATCCTCGTGCCTGACTATTAACATCAAACTCATCTTCTTCTGGGGTATCGGGACAGTCTGCTGACCTGGGGATTGGCGCCCCCTGCCATCGTCCGCTGTCCCCTACAGCCACGCCAGCGCTAGTCACAACAACGGTCACAGACACTCCCAATCCTGCTCGCCAGCTCTACCCAGTGGCCAACGAGGCAAATACAAAGAAGAGGAATTCTACACAAAAACCTCATAAAAGTTAACACCAAAAGTACATTAATGCAACAAAACAAGACAATTAATTGTGGACTGTTAAACATCAGATCTTTGTCATCTAAGGCTGCATTAGTTAATGACTTAATAACAGACAATCAGATTGACTTATGTTGCCTCACTGAAACCTGGTTGCGACATGAAGAATATGTGACACGAAATGAAGCCACTCCACCCAGTCATATAAATACTCATGTTGCTCGAGTCACTGGTCGAGGAGGCGGAGTCGCAGCCATCTCCGACTCAAGTTAGGGCTGTGCAATTAATCGTATTTTAATCGCAATTACGATTTTGGCCTGACACAATTACGAAAACAACATAATCGAACAAAACAATTATTTAGCTTTGCTAGGTTGTGACAGTGCACTGCAACATATTTGATCTAATTTATTTTGGTCTCATTTATTTTTTATTTATCATATTTATATATGTTTAGTAGCTTGTGGAAGTGCGCTCCAAAATATTTGTTGATCTTGTTTATTGTTATTTATTATTTTTACATTATTTATTTAATGTAAATATTTCATTTATTTTTGTATTGGTTTTTCAGTTGAATTACACGTTCAGGGTAATCAACAGTTAAAAAGATACTGTTCAAATTATTATTTGTATTTGTTTTAAAGTTCAATAAATGGAAGTCAATGAATAATCATATTTAATAATCGTGATATCAATTATTGACCAAAATAATCGTGATTATGATTTTTGCCATAATCGCACAGCCCTAACTCAAGTCTTCTCATATATACAAAATCAAAACAAAACTATAACTCTTTTGAAAGCCTGATTCTTAGTCTTTTGCACCCAACTTGGAAAACAATTCAGCCAATATTAATTGTCACAGTGTATCGGGCCCCAGGTCCTTATTCTGAATTCATATCTGAATTTTCAGAATTGTTATCAAGTTTAGTCCTTAAAACCGATAAAGTCATTATTGTGGGTGACTTTAATATTCATGTTGACGTTGAGAATAATAGCCTCAATATTGTTTTTACCTCATTATTAGATTGAATTGGATTCATACAGAATGTACATCAACCAACCCACTGTTTCAACCACACCCTCGACCTTGTTCTAACATATGGTATTCAAATTGAGCATCTATCAGTCAGTGCTCATAACCCTGTTTTATCTGATCACTACTTATTAACTTTTGGTGTTCTGTTATTAGACTATAAGTCACTGCATAAGAATGCCTACAAAAGAAATCTATCAGATTCTGCTGTAGCAACATTTATGGAAAAAATGCCATCAGTGCTTAGCTCTTTAACATCTCACAGTCCAAGGGAGGACTCCTTTACTAACCTTACGCCCCCCCAAATAGATCATATGATTGATAGTGTTACAGGGGCGCTAAAAATAACACTGGACTCTATTGCCCCTTTTAAAATTAAGAAAATTAAACTAAGAAGACTAGCTCCATGGCATAACAATGAAACACGCATAATAAAGCAGAGGACAAGGCAACTTGAAAGGAAATGGCGCTCCACCAAGCATGAAGAATTTTGGTTACTCTGGCTTGATAACATTAAAAAATATAAGAAGGCACTACGCACTGCCAGAGCAGCTTATTATTCCTCCCTAATAGAAGAAAATAAAAACAATGACAGGTTTCTTTTTAGTACAGTAGCCAGGCTGACCGAGAGTCACAGCTCCATTGAGTCTTCTATTCCTACATCCATCAGTAGTAATGACTTTATGAACTTCTTTAATGATACAATTATAAGAAAATAAACCACCACCTACCCTTAGCCAGCACTGAATCACCCTTAATACCAGACATATACTTCGAGTGCTTCTCTCCTATAGACCAAAACCAACTAAATTCAATTATGTCATCCTCTAAAGCATCTACGTGTATCTTAGACCCTGTTCCATCTAAGCTGTTCAAGGAAATTGCACCCCTAATTAATACACCTGTAAAGTAGCTGTAATTAAACCTATTATAAAACAAACAAAACGTGATCCTGAGGTCATGGCCAACTACAGGCCAATATCAAACATTCCCTTCCTCTCAAAAATCCTTGAGAAAGCAGTGGCCTCACAATTGTGTGCATTTTTAAATACAAATTGTTTATTTGAGAAATTCCAGTCAGGTTTTAGAAAACATCATAGCACAGAGACAGCACTGGTTAAAGTCACAAATGACCTGCTTTCTGCATCTGATAATGGACTTGCCTCTATCCTGGTTCTGTTAGATCTGAGTGCTGCCTTTGACACTATTGACCATAACATACTACTCCAAAGATTAGAGCTTTTGATAGGTACAGATGGAGCCTCTTATTTTGGACGCCAGCATACAGCTTCCTGCCTACTGCCAGCCAGTTACCTGCCTAAGACCTGCCAAAGACCAGTATCCAGGAATGTTAGGCCCTCCCACTATTCTCCAATTTCAGGGTTTAACCAGGAGATGGCGCTATATATTAAATAACTAAGACTTAGTTTTTCACAATAGAAAATGCAGATATTATATAAAAAACTAAAGTTAAAATCTTGTTTTTAATGCCCCAAGAGCAATAACATCTTGTCACAAGCTTTTTGGAAGAAAAAGACTGACCCAAGAGACCTGTAGTTGACTAATTACAGGCCTCAATAAAGTTCTGCCATTGGTTGTGAAAAGCAACGGTGGACATAGTGGAAAGTGAAATTGACATTGTCGAATTTAATAAAAATACAAAATAATGTATCTGTATACGTGTTTTACTATGTGATCTGCATGCACTTATCAAACATCTAATTAAAGAATGGTAGCTGTACCTCTCAAACAACCTAAAGTAGTTATAAATGTTTATTTTAAATAAAGTCTTTATGACTCGGAATATGAATAACATGTGTCCGTTACAGTTTGTTTTCATCTGATTTCAAATAAACAAAGTCTTGGCTTTCAGAATATTAAACTTGTTTCGGCAAATTTAGATGATAAATACAACTATGAAGCTTGTAACGGCATAATTACTTAAGCGGAGAACGGAGTAAGTAAACGTTACAGCAGGCATAACAACAGCCGGTGTTTATTTTATTATAATATATAGTCGTTTTATTATATAACTATATACGTAGTTTTATAATAATATATAGTTTTATTATAATATATAGTCGTTATTCATTTCCTATAATATATAGTCGTTATTCATTCGT